ACTTTCTGAATCCGGTGAGAGAGCTTCCCGCTCGGAACAGATACTACGGACAGGTGTCGACGAGCGCCGTTGCTTCGTGGCCGTCAATGACAATGTAGAGGTGCAGTGTTAGCGGCAACGCGTAAGAAGTAACGGCGTTACCAGTAACGCCCTACTTTTTCCCGGTAACGTGTACCGTACTCGTCACTTTTTTTTTAAAACAGTAACAGGTAACGTACCTACTGTTGTGAAAACGGAAAAGCCCCGGACCAGACCCTCCCTATCTAATCCGTCCGGCAACGGTGAACTCATTGAGTAGCATCGCCACATGGCTCCGGTCGGCTTGCCCGGAAACGAGGCGAGAGGCGACAAGGGGGTGCCGTGGGACCACCGTGTTGGCGTCGCCCCACCTAGGCGCGGAGCTAAGCCGGACCCTTCTTTCTGGCTGCGTTAACGCTGGTCCGAAACGGGGTCAGCCGACTCAAGAACCGGGAGGATTACCGGGCCAGGATTCCGGGTAACGACGCGCCAGCTGCGGGACCGCCGTGAGGGTGGGATTATCCCCGGACGCCACCTGCGGATGATCCGGCCAAGCCCTTTCCCGTGCCTCAACGCCGTCTGATGGAGGGGTCAGCACTACCACGGCCAACGTCGTCACCCGGGCAAACACTGGACCCCTTGCTGGCGCCTCCTCGGCGCAGCGTTCGAGGGCAAGGGTGCCTCGGCGCCGGAGTGTAAAGTCCGGCCACAGCTGCAGTGTGTGCATGTGGGTGTGTGCGTGCTCAGGGGATGAGTGGAGGCGGGGCCTGAACATGATTTGTTGGCAGCTCGGCCACCATTGGCTGCCAGCCGCGAGAGTACCGAAGAGCGACCCTATAAAAGGGGCAAACAGAATGTCGCATCTGTGCTCTCGGACGTTGTAAATACTTTGTACATATGTATTAAACAAAGTTTCGTTGCGAGAGACCCTCCCGTCTCGTCATGTTCCTGGACGGGAGTCTGCCCGCTGCTCCTTTCCTGGCCTGGCCCTGCGTGACGCTACCCGGAGAACCCCCTTGGTCCCAACACTACGTTACTTCATGCAAGTAACGGGTCACGGAGTTACGTTACTCGTTACTTCTTCTTCCCAGGACATAAAAAAAAATTAGGCTTCAGTGTTTTCGCGTTTCCAGGCGTCAAACCATGTAAATTCGTAAGTTTTGTTGCGTTTTTCTTCTGCGTTTTTTCTTGTTGAGTATTTAGGTGAAACCATAAAAAAATTAATAAATTAGGTTCAGTTTCCGCATGGACATAATGTTTCTTCAAATGTGTCCCTTATTCATACCTGTAACGTCAAAACAATAAAACGTGTTTCTTGTTCTTACTAAATCTGCGTCAATGTATAAACATTTAGAACGTAAGCACTGGCCGCCGTTCACTTTGCGAAAACTAGAGGATTCCCAGAATCCACAACATAGGAAACCAGCTACCACATCCTAATCACGGGCCCCATGAACGAAAACAGACCAGAACGGGAGGTAACCACGACACATGCTTCCACACTAAGCATGTGAAAGCAGAAAAGCGTCAATGCAATGACAGTTGATTTGATGGTCGGTTGTCGACCCAGGGCAATAACAATTGGCCGACACCTCTTATCTGTGTCCACTCTGAAATAAGCTTCACACATGATTCCAAACTTTGAGAGAGAATGCCGCTGAGCGGCTTAAGTAAATAGAATGGTTGGTCGTTCTCAAGAACTGGACACCTTGCATCACACGACTTCGCTTAGCCACACGAGACTTACACAAATTGCATTGGCCGTGCAATTCAGCCGTCGTTGTGGAATGGAAGTGAAGTGGTTTTGATATAAAAAACTTCGTCACCAGCCATCTAGTCAATGGTGCTGCAAAAGGCATAGCCACGTAAGCAGCATGTGCTCGATATTGCCACATTTGCGCTGAAAACTACAAGCAAAACTTGCGGATTACAATCTGAAATGATTTGAAGACAGCAATTTCGTCATGACTCGGGCATCTCAGCCAGCGCTGCAGCGTCAGCACATCGGATGTCTGTGGTGGCAAAGCACCTATGATCAGAAGACGGCGGGTGGTGGCCAGCACGACCATCGGGTCAGTCAAAGTCGCCACTAGACCAAACTGAACATCGACGTGCTAGGAGCTGCAGCGGCACCTGACAACACGGAGCACAGGCACAATGCTTGGGCGCCTGACACAAGACAGAAGCAGAAACAACTTGTTATGGAACCATTTGATGAGAATTAGTGATCGTGTAATCAAGTTGAAATAAACGTCTTCACTACACTAACCAAACGATCATCATATTCACGCTCCTTTACTTTTTTTATATTCAGCACCATAAAATAATTTTACTCATAGACTGTAGTGAAGCTTTCGAGCACACTGAAATGTAACCTCCCAATAAGGATAAATTGGACAAACCACGCTGGCCGTGTAGCCAGGCTTGTTGCGTGGTGGCTACATTCCTCGCAACTATCCTGAATATATGGTTTATGTCAAAACAAACTCCAGTAAGGAGCAAATGTTGCTTATTCGTCTGTTCAATCCAAGCGCCCTCGTAGGCATTGCAGACAGAGGAAGTTCGAAGCTACACACACATTGTAATAAAGACATCGGAGCAAGTTGACATTAATTAGCACAAAATAAGCACAACTGCTGAAAAGAAATACAGTATTTGCTCGAGTAATAGCCGCACTTTCTGAAGAAAGCCTTTGCGTCAACTTCCTGAAATACACACATAAAACCAATCATCGCGTTCTGCATAAATAACGCAGCGAATAACAAGTGCAAGAACACGATTCTCCGTAGAAATGCGATCTGAGCAGATAGCATTTTCACATGAAGATTTTATCTGCCCCATAAATCTCTGTCATTTTATTTTTTTTTTGCCGAATGGGGTGATTTGTTATTCCCGTGCACTGCGAGAAAGCAGACCCACAGGCTTTGTCCATAAACAGTGCGACCATTACTCGAGCAAGGACGGTATTACACTCGTAAAAAAATACTTTTTCTGTAACTCGTTAATTACCAAGACAAACACACTTCTTGGAACATAGTTTAAAACTATGTGATGATACTGGGCATAGGCATTGTCATATAGGGCGACATTCGATAAATATATGACAAGAGTCCTTTTGCAAGACTCCATCAAACAATATGAACAATCGTTTTCTTGATTCTTTTTTTTTCGCCATAAATCACGGGGATGAATTGATTCACGTCCAACGCTAATGCAGCACTTGATTCCAGTAATCGCTGAGCAAAGTTCACAATGATTGCTGACATAACATTATATCTAAAATATATGCTAGAGTGCATGCACAAAATATGCCGGCCTTACGTAATTAGCGCAGTACATACTACACTCCGTTTCACCACAATCTCGCAACAGGTTAAGACCACGGTCTTTGGGAGCCAATACTCATGTCAGAGAAAGGCACATGACAACATATCATCGGAGTGAGTTCCTTCTGCGGAGAGTTGTCACATACCCTTCCTCCGTCTTTCCGATTTGCTCTAGGGAGCTGTAGTGTTTGCTTTTTGCCAAATTATGACGAAACTTTTGAAAGAAGTATACTGAGAAACTGAAAGAAATCGCACTAAACATTTGACTACAAGAGTGCTTCTTCGAGCAAGGGACGAACACAAATACTAGTTATCTTGTCCGGGTAATTGGAAGAACAAAATAATCGAGCGAAAGATGCAATGAACATTCGAAGAAAGAAATTATGACTGCAATAAGTGGAACGAAAGTGAAAGATGCGTATTTTATTTTCTATTGCTTATTTGTATGAAATTTAACGAATTTTTTTATATAAGTGGTGCTATTTATTGTTACCGGCTCTGGACCTTTAGAGAGCAGGGCTGCATTTTATGGATATATTTCGGATGCTGGAATTATCGATTAGACAACCATTTAAGATAACTTTGATCATATAGTGTTGGTTACTGTCGATTGTTGATATCGAACTGCCAGTTGTGAAGCCTTCTAATAGTAAGTTCGAAGGGACGTCGGATGCAGTAATTTGGGCACTTCCCAATCTAAAATGTGTAAACTTGCTGTCTTGTGAGTTCCAAGGAGATAAATGAACTGTTTTAGGATGTTACTAAAAGTAACTATTTCTTGGATGATTGGTTCGAATCATTTGTAAGGTTTCACGTGCACGTCCCTTAAACACGCACCTGCTTTTCACTTTAAAAATGAGTTTGAATGCACGCTGCTGCAGTGAAAGCCCGTTTGTATCAAAATCTTGAGAACTGCCAATGCGTAAATTGCTGATTACTACAGAAGCTTAAAGATCGCAGCAGTTTCCTCGCTAAAAATTTCTGTGCTTATGCGGTGAAATACGGTGCCCTATAGGGATAAAACAACTTCCCCTAGGCTCTACACGCGACGCATACCTTTCGTTGCGATTCTGGCATTCCAACGTTCAAGCAAAGCTAGGAAAATGCGAAAATTCCAAGTGAAAAGGTTTACCGGTCCTAGAACACGTCTCAGAATTCGAGCACCGCTACGGAGATACGACTGGCGCTGTCTTACAGGTGCTAATATCCAGAGCGGTCTTTCGCTAAGAGCGTATAAAGTCTCATTCCTTCAGATTTTCACGTCATACGCGCGTCAGAGAGCACGAATAACTCCTAAATCATCGACAAGCAGCGGCAAATCATGACTACCGCGAACCGGACCAACTCGCAAGAACCAGCTCTGGGCGCTGCCATTTTACCGGTGACATTGCGGTTTTTGTGAGGTCACGTGACGAGTAGTTACTTTTGCGTACAACATTGCGGCAACCGGGGGGTGCCACTTTTCATCTTCCGGTTTATCACTCTAAGGCTCTCCTCCTCCTTGCGTAAAACAATTTTTTTTTTTAAATAGCTTAAAAACGTTACGCAAAACGTTAATTTCCTAGGCAACTAAAAAGAACATGCCTTACTTTTTCAAGAATTGCCGTATACCATCTGTGCGCAGTGAGAAACAAAATACTTAGCTGTCGTACTTACCCTGATAAATGCGACAACATCAGCCGTTTTCACAAAACTCATCTCCAGCCTGCATCCCCATGACACCAATGCTAACGGCTGCAGGAAATTATGGCAACGTATGAATACAAACATATTTTATTCTCAAGTTTACTGTGTAGCATAGTAAAAGGTATCTTTAAAATTCTTTTGTCACTTGTTCTTTAATTAGGAACATTGGCAACTTGTCCGGGCCGGCGAGTTCTTTCAAAACGATGTTCGCAAAATGATGAAAAGCTTCGAGTTCACAATCAAAATAATAATATTGCTGCACACTACTTGACAGATATATCGCTTCCGAAACGTTGGTCGTATGTCGAGCCGATTTTCTAAGTGGTTATTTTCTTAAATATTAAAGCTCGGCCTCTTGAATCTAAATTTATCCAAACAAAAATAACAAACATATTTCATACCGGAAAAAAAAAACATTCTCACAAATAGCGCGCAATCACATTCAATTTCTTTTTTACTCAATTTGTTTTAACCCTCGACTATAGATGATCACCTGGTACGCTTGTTTAGCTTGCAAGAGTTGTATTTGTAAAACATGCATTCCTGGATAAAAGCTCCTATGCAATTTTTATTTACAGCACAAGCAACTAGGCTTGTGTGAGTAGTGGTTCGATTCGAATAGCGCTGCGTCATTCATAGCTTTGACAATGCATGGGAAAGCCAGGACGGCTGGTTCTTTCAACAGTGCAGAAGCTAGGAATGACTCCGCGCTATTCGATTCGAACCACTATTCGCACACCCCTACAAGCTACCACTTGTACGCGACTCACTCTCTCAGGCATTTTGACAAGATAATAATACCCACCCGCTTAGGTGTTAAGCCGAGGTATGGTGTAATTATGTGCTTCCGAATGCAATTCTTCAGCAACGTTCGCAACTTCTGTACCTGTCCCCATCGAGCGCAAGGGTGGTACAACATGACCACTCCGCCGTGCTGAAGGGAAAAACACACAAAAAGTATTAGTTGTTATGTTTTATCTCGGTTTCACAGTATACAATATCTGCCTTAGGGACAACACATGCTCTTACAAAAGTAATCAATTGTTAAATTATTTAAACTAGAGAACGGAGATTGAGTATGGGAACTTTGGTCTCATTAATTGGGGCACAACTAAATCCGCTTAACAATAGTATGATCTCAGAAAGACACTGCACTCAATACCTTATGTGCAGTATAATTCTACCGTTCAACCTGTACGAGTAAGTTAAATTCAGATAAAATACAACTAAGAACACTTAACACAAAAGAGAAATTAACCGATAGAGGTTCCGACCTGGGAACAACATAAATTAACTTGGTTGAACCAAACGAAACGAATTACAAAAAAAAAAAAATACCGGAGAGATAAAAAAAACAGTGTCAGAATTACTAAAAACATAATGAAGTCGCCCTGTCTATAACATTACACAATTACGTAGCCTTCATCTTTAGTCGATATTTATTAGCACCAGCTAAGTAAAGCAGCTGTCTTGACAAAAATGATAGAAAGCAAATAATTTAAACTCCAACTTGTTTAAACACATAATATCTAACACACACACGAACCTCCTATCCTAGAAGAAGTTCCTATCGTTGGACAACTTAATACCTACACATATGCTCGCTGATATGAAACATGATCAAAAACAAAATTACACAGTGATTACATTTATGTAATCAATTTAAAGATTTTGGGTAAAAAAAAACCTTGAAAATACTACGACTAGCTGATAACTACGGCACATTCCAGGGTAGAATATCTAGCCGCCAAAGCACATTGATTTTTTCGTGAAGTCATACCTCAATACTGTGAAGCCAGCGTTGTGGAGGTACATAATTATACTCGCCGTACCTCGGCCATAATGGCCGGTGCCCCTCACTGTAAACAAATTAGCAAAAATTACAACTGAGTAAGAAACGCTCTGTAAGCGGAAATGTACTTAAAGAAATTATTTCTGATCCCTGTTCTCTATGTGAGCGGGCGTGTGTCCGTGTTTGTCTGCACACCAAGCACACACACGGCTCCACAAATGTGCGTGCGAGCGCATGATCCTATACCTTTTGCCGTCTAGGTGAATACTTTCCCGTGTACGTTTGCTCTCCAAGTTTCGTCTCTACTTTAATTCTATATTATGTAATATACAAGGTTGCACAATGATGAAGCAGTATATTCTAAAAGGACCACTTCGAAATAAAAACAAAAATATTGTTTGCCTTTTCTTTTAATAATGATATTGAGTTTTAGACAACACATTAGGGCCACTTAAAACGATTTACTTGAAGTGTTGTTTATAACTACCCGCCAAACTTAAAGCTTCAAGACAGATTTCAAAGCTGAGCGAAATATTATTAGAACCCTTCTTTAAAATCCGAAAACCATGTCCATGCCTCTTTTATCTATACTCCGTGTTACTAGTCGTGTGTCGTACAGGCGAAGGCAACGCCAGAGGAGGGTATACCCTCCTCTGGCGTTGCCTTCGCCTGTACGACACACGGGAAGAAAGGGAGAGCGCTAGGAACGGAAGGGAGGAGACGAGGGTTCTCTCCTCCTCCCAAGCCTTCTTAGTGCTTGCCCTTTCTATAGAAAGGGCAAGCACTAAGAAGGCTTAGGAGGGGGAGAGAACCCTCGTCTCCTCCCTTGCGTTCCTAGCGCTCTCCCTTTCTCCCTTCGTCCTCCATTGCCCTCCTCTACGGCAACGCCTTCCTAGTGGTCACCCTTTCTCTCTTCGCTTGGCACTGAATCCTCCTGCACTGCACACAACTAGAGACAAGGAGTATAAAATGTTCAGGCAAGTCGGACTGGACAGGAACATTCAAGGTATAACATGCTTCCATGCTTTTCCGCCGTTCCCCATAGTAAAGCATTGAAAATGGCCGGCAAGCAAAAAAGGTACTCCATTCATCCATTCATTCATTCATTCATTCATTTATTCATTGTTCATTCATTCACTCTTCATTATTTAATTATTCTTCATTTTTTAACGATTTGGAACAGGGTGTTCCTCGCGTCATTGTTCAATCAATCAGCATTGCCGTCCCCCCCAATACAAAAACTGCGCTTACAACGTGGGTATCCTGGAAGGGTACTTAATCCTCGTATCCATGCAATAATGAGGGGGCTGAAAAAAGACAAGAGCAGATATTAATTTTCATTCTATATCTAGCAAAACCTTCATCACAATTGATCCATCAAAACATGACTTTGAACTCCGATGTCTTTAATTGTGTATTCAGCCCCCCCCCCCCCCCCCCTTTCCTCGGTTGTTAATGAAAATGTTATATGTGCTGTTTTGTCGGTGGAGCAAAATGTAGCATCCAATTCGGACATCTTAATATAAAATTCGAACCCGTCGTTTCGTATGTCGTAGGATACGTGCTTTTTCCGCCCCTTACCCCACAAATCTGAACAGATAAGCAGTCGAATTGAATTGACAGGCTTTGGCCTTAGCAGTGGCAAAGGCGTGATATCATCCATAGGTTATGACGGTAGTGGGGAGTGAGAAACGTGACCCTCATTGCAAACCCTCGACACAAGAAGGCTAATTATTTTTTTCTTCTTTGCTTTGTAAACTTGTCTGCCGACGTAAAACGGTTGGCAGGTCGCGGCAAAATAGTCTCGAACAATCTGTTGCAAGTCCGTAAACAATCAATCTGACGGCGGATATTCTGGTTCGTGGGAAATTTTTCGGTGAGCGAAATCTTCGACCTTTAAGAATGACAGTAAATAAAGCAGCATCTGCTTTGTTCGCTGAAAGGATGAGAACGGCGCGGCTTATCTTTTTCACGCCTAACCTCCAGCACGTGCTCACTGCCTTCGCCGTGCATGGGTTGAGCGTGCATGCTCTATGCTCACGAGACGCCGAAGTGTTATTGGAGGCAGAATGCCGGCGTCGGAGGCGGGACAGCTGAAATACCTACCTGCTGTTCTCATCGTGCCAGTGCCTAAACAAGCACTGCCGACCAGTGCGCGTGACAGCGATGAAAATTAGCTGTGCGAGCTAGCGAAAGAACACCTCAAAGCTTGTTTTTGCCGCGAGCTAGAAAAAGTAGCCTACAAAGGCAGTTCTGAGGCTGGCACACACATTCAGGTTATGCTGTGAAGAGGGACGTTAAGTTGGGTCTTTCCATGTCTGTATACAGTTAACGCATAAAAATGAAAGCAGAGCCCTATCCTGGTTTGTATGAACGTGCAAGATACATTTGGATAACCTGTACTAAATTTAGAAATTTTTACACTGTATACTTCATGACATCTCGCAGCAACTTTTTTCCCATGTAATATTAACTAAGAAAAAACTCACGTGGTAATGGGGTGGTATAACGTCGCAAGTAAATCTTGGTGGAGCCAGACCCTAGAATATCATTGATTCTGTCAGTGAAATAGCGCAAGTCGATAAGAAGTTTTAAATCGTAAGAAACATATTTATTGCATAATGAGCAGCTGAGGTAAGTGAGTAGCATTGGTCCAACGTATTTGCTGAGTGATAGTGATTATAAATTAAAAAATAAAAACCCGTAAACAAGCTAATGAAACTAAATATTATTCATTCTTGTTATATGTTTGTTATAATAATAGCACCACGCTAGAGATACATCTCATTATCATTATTTATATTAAATTGAATGTTCAATGCACTAGTTCCAAGCAGCACAAAGTTGGCCGATCATTCACAAAGGCGTGGCAATGGTCCTTTGGCCGGTGACCAGGCATTGGCCGATGACTGGCCTTTTTCTGGCCAATGGACAATGGCCACTGGCCATCATCGGTCGGCCAAGCATTTGCAGATGAATGACCACCCTTTGGCCATTGGGGAAACGACCGCAGCCAGCCATTGGCCAGTGCTTGGTCAAAATCCGTTCTGATTGGGACGTGATCATGATTATTATCGTTCCACTTTTCTTTACAATACTTTAGGAACTATGAAATGGTTGAAACTCTTGTTTAATTTGAAATTTGGTATAACCATTTCAAACCAATCGCATTACTTTATTTCTTGTGATCATCGTAAAATATACACCTTTTCGAAAAAAACACTCGGCCCTAGGGGAAAGAAGACCTTTTTCAAAGACACTCACTGGGTTCGAGGCTGCTCTCGTACCGGCATCTCTGCTAAACCTAACTGAATAACGAAATGACTCATGATTTCTTAGATTTATCAATGTTTTTGTAAGGGAAGAATTACATATCTTAGAGGGTAGGTGTAAAGTAATTCCATTACTTCTTTACGTAAGGAAATTCTTGCAATATATTACATTTTAATTTTCATTGAGGAAGGAAAAAAACTGGATTTTTGAATTATGACAAAAATCGTATTGTTTGTTTGTTGTTGTTTTTTGTGGTGTCACACTGTCACTTGCACTAACAAAATGCAAGGCCTGGCATTCTTCAGATGCTCAAAAACCTCATTCACGTCTCTTTAATCCTCAGCTCTTTTTTTTTATTGGTTGTTTGCTGTAATTCGTCAGCTTGGTCGCCCAAAACGAAGACAGAAGCACACTGATACAAAGCACCGCGGATACTCTGTGCAAAATGTTACAAGCTCCAAAGGTCAGAACTTTTAATTTTAACTATAAAAAAAGACGGTGAATGTGCACACGAGTTGGTGTAGCGTATCTGAACGCGCATGTTTTGTTTTGTCCTTTAACTCTTTGGTTGCTTCCTTCTGTCCAAGAGAAAGAAAGATGACTCCTTTGTATCAACTTCAGGGACAAAGATATTTTCCACTGGGGACTTCCTTGCCGCAGAAGCTGAAGAAGACTGTGAAGATGACTACCCGACCCGTCGTCATCCTGCCCGTCACTACCCGCACTCCGACGACTGTTCACAACGAAGCCCATGATGATGTAGAAGACTAGCTACACCTTTACAAACGTGTAGCCCGCCGCAACGGATGGGCGACTGAGCAGCGCCTCCAGAGTCTCTACTTCTCGCTTGAAGGCACTGCGAGTCGCTGGTTTGAGAACCGCGAAGCTTACTTTACTTTGTGTCGGTGCGTTCGGGCAGGACCACCGGTACTTTATAATGCGGCTCCCCAGCCGTTTAACAATGCGAGGATCGGCAGGCCAGCAAAGGAGAAAGGAAGAAAATATTTGTGGACCTTAGCACGAGAAGAGAGCGCGAAGGTTTGAGTGAAATAAGAGGAGAAGGCACAGGAAAGTCAGCTACCGACGCCCGTCCAAGGTTCGGATTTCCGTTATATAAAATAGATGTAGATTGAATAGTATCAGTATGTTCATCGACTTTGTCGATTAATGCTCTACCAGCACTAAAGAAACAGTCAGGATAGCCCCAACTCCATGGGAGTCCTGCGCCGCCAAATTGACGCGGAAGTTTATCAACCATCACCGTCGGCAGCAAGCCGAGGACCGTCTTCGGACGAGAACGCAAGGCCCGAACGAAAGCTTGACCAGCTTTGTTCAAGATGTCCTGCGCCTCAGCGCCCGAGCCGATCCCGAGGCCGCCGAGGAGAAGAAACGTTGCGCCCTCATGCGTGGCGTGAAGGGGAACATTTTCGTAGGCCTAGTCCGCAATCCCGCGACGATTGTCGATGATTTTGCAGCCGACGCCACCATTGTAGAGCGCGCACTAAGGGCCAGAGCAAGCCATTACCATTGACACGTTGGCGCGCCTGCTGCTCCAATCGTCGCATCTTTCCGACTGGACATGAACACCGCCGGTGTAGACAGCCATCGGGAGTTCGTCCGAGATATCGTCCGGGAAGAGCTCCGCAAGAGGTTACCCACTGCTGATCCCCAGTTCTCACTGTCACTCGCCTACACTCTAAGAAAAAACGGGTGTAGTCGGGTGTATCAGCAGCACATGCACCCCTTTCCTGAAAGATGCACCCTCCGTTGCCCAGTCAGTGTATTTGTGCACCGACAATGAGCATCCTCCTCTCCCTTAAAAACCTCTAGGTGTATCAGTGCACCGCCACGCTAGTCACGCGCCCCGACCAGCGTGTGCTTGGATGCCCTCTTGGGGGTCACTTTTGGGTTGGGCAGTTTCTTAGGAAGTATGGAACTGTTTTGTTCACTCGGTATTGACAGTAGAGTAGACGCTATGCTTGTTTTAGGCCAATCGGGTCTCCGGGTAGGATCACGTGACTACAGTCTCCAAGCTAGAGATAAGGCAGAGCACGGCACCTGCCCGAAGGCCAAGGCCACGGGTAGCATCCACTGCTCTATTAACTTTGGGTCGAACTTTCAAAAGGATATAGGGGACAAATCCTCTGGCTGTGTTCATTGTTGGGATAACCCTGAAGATAAGCCTTCGCGAGGGCAGCCACTTTTGGCCTTGAAGGGGCTGCTATTTTCGTATACTCCTCTCTTTTCTTTCTCTCCCTAAGCTGAAAGCGTTGAAGACGCTACGCCGTCGTCGGACCAATGAACCGGTGGCTTTTTTTATCCCTTGAGTCCGCTGTCTGGGCGCGGGTAATGGCAGGAGCGTGATCATGCGGCAAGGGTTTCACGGGTGACGTAGTAGCTCGTTCCGATCCCGGAATGTCTGATTCCCGGCCTAGTTTCTTGTGTGCTGTGTTGCGACCAGCAAGTCTGCCAGAGATTTCGTCCGTGACAACGTATTCGAGTGTACCAAGGCTTCCAGTGTATGAAAAGTCCAACGTACACCGGCAACAAGCAATTTCTTCAAAAAAGCCCGAGGAATTCATGTGATGCGTTTAGTGTTCGGTTTGGCAAATTACTTCTTCTGCCACATCTTGTTGAATCTTCAGAGACCCCTTTCTTTCCGTGTTTGTGTGGTTCTGCAGTGCCCGTGTCAACATATATCTCGGATTACATATTTCAAGTCCGGTATTTTCATCGTAAGTGCGCTGCAACCTACCCCTTTGCAGCAATTGACCGTTCCGTTCCGGATTACGTCTAAAATTAGACAGTGTCTATTTCCTAGCAGCCGGGAGAATAATTTCCCCGAAAGTTTATCGGCAGTCGCCTGCCATTAGCTGTCTACAATCATGTGATAACTGCAGGTGACTTTCTTATCCTCCCGGCGTTTTGTGAACATGCGTTTCATGGACACCTTTTCGTTTATACGTTTTTTAGACGCGTTTCGTCGACACTAACGTTTCACCGTCACTCGTTCCGTGAAATACACGCTGTAGGGACATTTCGTCGTGCGTGTGTCTCTGAGGCGCGTGCTCACCGACCCAGCCCACGCGTTCACGTCGCTTCGTGGCGACAGTATGCGGCGGCTCATTAAAAAAATGTTTACCCTACCTGTGATACCCGCATATATAACCTCGCGCATATAATCTAAGGCGGCTCATTACAAAAAAAAAAAAGAAAAAAATTGAAGAGATGCTTATAGAGGAAAGCTAACCTGAGCTGTCGATGAAACGTTGTTCGATGAAGTGATTATATTGCCAATGAGTGACGACTGCCGGCACGATTTCGGGTAAATAATTCTCCCGGCTGCTGAGAGAATAGTCGTCTACCCACCTAAGAATCACCCCGGTTCTTGTTCGCTCAGTAATCTCCTCAGTTCTGTAACAGCTTTGTCGTACATCTTCACATATCACAGATTGCTTGCACGTTTGTACTTGTTTACGGAGTAGGCTGTCTAATAAACTTATAGATTTGAAAACAATTCGTTGTGTCTGTTTACCTGCCTTTTTGCAACCACCTGGGCGCGTACATTTTTTACAGGTTTCCTTGAGGTGGGTGCACAAAGAGGTGTAATGGTACATCATTGAATTAGGTGTATATATGTTCCATATGAGCGGGGTTGGTGTAAAAAACGATGTAATGGTAAACCCTGTTGGCGGGTGTATCTCTGTTCCCTATGAGCGAGGTGGGCGTAAACAACGGTGTAATAGCATACCCTGTTGGCGGGTGTAGGAAAAGGAATACTTGTACACCTTAAATTGGGGTGTACCTGCACACCGAAACGGCAGTGAGGGTGTAAGAAAGGAGTAGCGACACACCCCAGTATGGGGTGTATCTGTGCATCCCCAAATGCTGAAGGTGTATAAAAGGGTGCACATATGCACCTCTAAAGAGGGTGTATATATGCACCTCGTTTTGAGGTGTACTTGTACACCTATATGGGTGTAGTATATGTGGCAGCACTTACACCCCCTGTGGGTATACCCACTACACCCTTTTTTTTTTAGAGTGTAGGTTGTCCAAGACGAGGTTTATTGAGCCTTCCAGCCTGAGGCCCCCGTCATCATAGGTGCACCGGACGAGCCTGCTCTAAGCTACGCCGCAATAGTCCGACGACCAGCACCAGCCCCGCGTCTTTCCATGGCGGTTCCTCAATGCGAACCCCCAGCGCCACAGTAGCCCCGACCCTAGGGAGATCGGACAGACGACAGGCCAGAACAAGCTGTGCCAAGAAACAGCGACCAGTGGAGGACGGCCGACCGACGCCCGTTTTGCTACCACTGCGGGAAAGCCATAACCACCGCCGTCGCCACTACCGATAATTAGGGCTCCGCGGCACCGCGACCGCGGGAGATTGAGGAGTATCTCCGACGACCTCAGACTTCCCCGCTTGCATCTCGCCGCAGGTCCCGGTTGCAGTCCCCAAGACGTCCAGCCTCGCCGATGAACCGATCCCGTCGTGAGAGCCTTGCGCCCTTGTCTCACGGGGAAAACTAAGCTCGGCGATGCCTGGAAGTGGAGTTGCAGTAGACCGTCGACATAAAGAGCCTTCAAGAACTCCAGAAACCTCCCACTCGACCGATACCATGCATCGGAGCGACGCTTCTTTAACGGTGCCCAACAGCCTCAACGTGACCATCGGCGGCCACGATGCGTCGGCACTCGTGGATACCGGCTGCTTCCTATGCGAGTACGGCGCCGTCATCGATCTTTCAGCAAAGCAGCTGACGCTACGAAAGCTTGTCCCTTTACCAGAGGAACCCAACGCGACGTCGTCCGCGGTCCAAGTTCTCGAAAACCACGATAACTTATGCAGCGGTCGAGTGTTTTTGTACCCGTCGGGATCGATGAAGCTTCCTGTGTCGAAGTTCTGCTCGAGGAAGCGTATAATTGATTCTATAGAGAGGAATTTGCGTCATAAAAGGAGTAACAAAGCTTCAAGATGGCTGTGACATGGTCCTGGTTACAAATGTCCGACAAGAACCGAAACAACTGAAGTAAGGTATTGCCGTAAGCCACATTGCCGAACTCCAGAACTCAGCCGCGATCTCTGCACTTTCGAAAGAGCCGACTTTAACGAAACACGAGGGAATGTCGCGCTCAGAACTTGACATCGACCCGAAGCTTCAAGCTACTGAGTAAGGACGGCTGATTTACCTTCTGAGCGAGTCCAGCCAGTGTTTTGCCACAACATCAAGAATGCGACAAACAAAGGTAGCGAAGAACCGCATCGCTACTGGCGACGACGCGCACCCCGTCGACCAGTCGTCATATACCTAGTCTCCTCGAAGGAAAGGGATGTGATTCAAGATCAAGTACGGAAAATGCCCGACGAAGACATTATTCAGTCTTTCAGAAGTCCGCGGGCGTCCACCAGTGGTACTTGTAAAGGAGAAGGACGGAACTTTGACGTTCTGCGTAGACTATCGTCGTCTGAACGTTGCGACTAAGAAGTACGTCTATCCGCTTCCTTGCGTCGACGATACGTTAGACTGACTGCGCCACCCCCGACCGTGACCGCGAGAAAATTGCCTTCGTTGCACCCGACGGACTGTACGAGTTTAAACTGATGCGTTCGGACTTTGTACAGCACCAGCCACCTTCCAGCGTGTCATGGACACCCTGGTGGCAGGTCTGAAATGGCAGAGCTGCCTCGTCTACCTCGTCGATGTCGTAATATTTTAACGATATTTGGAGGAACACCTGAGGCGACTTTGAGCCGTGCTTCAGGCCATCAAGACCGCCGGCCTGTCACTCTAGCTTGCAGAGTGTCGGTTCGCCTATGGTAAACTTAAATTTCTGGGCCACGTCGCGAGCAACGAGGGTGTTCGCCGTGACCCCGAGAAGACGCGCGCCGTAGCCACATTTACGCTGCCACGTGACAAGAAGGCCGTAAGACGATTTGACGATTTCTCGGATTCTCTACAGTCGGTCTGTTTGAGACTTCACAAAGCTGTCTGCACCGCTGACGCACCTCACAAAAAACGGCGTAAGGGTTGAGTGGACAGAAGAGCAAAAGCGGTCATTAGATGAGCTGAAGCGAAGTCTCCAGACGTCGCCAGTGCTTGGCCATTTCGACCATTTCCCTGAAACAAAGATTAAAACGGTCGCCAGTAACACCAGACTTGGCGCGGTACTGGTCCAGAGGCAGGATGGCGCAGACCGAGTGATCGCCTACTCAAATCGGACGCTGTGTAAGCCGGAGAGTAACTACTCAACGACTGAAACGGAGTGGTTTGCTGCCGTCTGGGCCAAAGCACCGCTCGTATTTTTATGGTATTCCTTTCCGCGAGGTCACAAACCACCGCACGCTCTGCTGGCTCGGGAGTCTGAAGAACCCCTCCGAACGTCTCGCTCGGTGGAGCCTACGACTGCAGCAGTTTGACATGATCGTGGTGTACAAGTCAGGCCTGAAGCATAATGACGTCGATTGTCTGTCAAGGACCGCCGTCGAGGCCGGTCCTGCTTGTACCGAAGACAACGACGATTAGTTCTTCCTCGGCGCTCTAGAAGTCGGCGACATGTCAGCACTCCAACATCACGGCCCTGAACTACGGGCACTCATCGAGTACCTAGAGAAACAGGGGAGTATGGTTTCCCGCGCTTTCTTACGGTGCCTCTCTACCTTTGCCATTCCATAAGGCGTGCTGTGCAAAGAGAACTACGGCGACCTCAACACGACGTGACGGTTGATATCCTTTCCAGTCTTCGAGAAGAAATCTTCAAAGGATGCCAAGACGACCCGATGGCGGGGCGCCTCGGATACAGTAGGACACTTGCCAGAATTCCTGAAAAATACTCCTGGCCCAATCTTCCGAACACCGTCCATCTATTCACCCAATAGTGCCCCGAAGGCCAACGACGCGAGAAACTGCCCACAAAGCCGCCCGAACTTCTTCAACCGATTCCGCCACAACTTCCCCGTTTCAATTTGATCGTTCACAACATTGACACAAGGTAACTGGTAGATAATTGTCAACACGGATTATCTTACACGATTGGCCGCAACCAAAGCCCTTCCGTTGGACTCTGCGGTAGAAATCGCCAGGTTGTTCATCGAGTCCATCGTTCTGAGGCATGAAGCTCCCGAAGTTTTATTTACAGATCGCAGGTAGTCCTTTATGGTGCAGTTGACACAAACAATTCTTCACCTCGACCACACCAGCAATCGTCGCACCACGCCGTACCACCCGCAGACAAACAGCTAACGGAGCGACTCAACATGACCATCGCCGGTATGATCTCCATGTGCGTAGACGTAGAGCACAAGACGTGGGACAAGGTGTTGATTCACGTCACGTCTGCCTACAACACGGAAGTTGAAGAAACCGTTGTAGTTACACCTTTCCAGCTGGTACATGGTCGGAAGATAACCGCAATGCTCGACACGATGCTGCCGCACGAGCCAGCTGACGATGAAAGCGACAACGCCCAGGTGGTCTCTCTTTGGGCCGAAGAAGTACGCCAACTCGTCCGCCTCCGGATTCAAGATTAATAACGTGTTCACACTAGCCGCTACAGCCTTCGTCGTCGGGACGTTCACTTCCAGCCTGGAGAAAAAATGTGGATGTGGACACCAATTTGTCGCCGCGGCCTCAATGAGAAACTGTTTAAACGGTACTTTGAACCGCATAAGGTACTTAGTCATCTCGGGGAGCTCAGCTACGAAGTGGTGCACGACGAAATGCAAAGATCATCGCGACGCCGATCACGACCCGAGGTGGTTCACGTCGTTCGATTCAAGCCGTTCTACGCTCAATAGGACTGTGGACTTTTCGTGTAACAGAGGCCTTTTTAGCTTACCGTTTTTGTATTTTGTTCTGTGTTGCGTTGGGCCGATGCGCTTTTAAAGGTGGGTGCGAGGCCGCGTGAGCAGCTAGCCACATAGGTAGCGCGCTTGTATCCCACAGAGATAGCCGGGGTTCGGATCCCGCCGCCGCTTGTCGTTTTGGTCGTTTTTGATGTAAGTACATGATTCGAAAATTTTTAAGAACCGTCTAGCGTTTTTATGCTTAGAATGAATAGTTTGAGAAAGATCGAGGAAGAATATTCTAGGCTCGCAGAGAAGGCACAAAAGAAGCCTTGCCGCGCCGTGCGGAGTCAGTCTCGCCCCAGCGCTCAATCCAGCTTTTACGCCTTCATCGACGCCTGCGGCTCTAGCCTTTTTTGTTTTGTTTTAACATAAAGTTCACCCCATTAAACGTTTAGTTTCCTTGAGTTATTCGTCGCCTCACCAATTGTCATTCGTGACAATAGGACACCGTGACGTCGAGGTCGTATAAGCAATATAGGCCTTATGAGTCTACATTGCTTCTATGTATAACTGTGTGTCGGTCTAGCGTAACGGTCGAGCCTAACGTGTTACTTTTTTATAAAACACAGCCATATAACAAATTTTGCGTTAGATCCTAAATTCGCAATCTATTAATGTTTGCAATTTGGCTTTTGGGGCCGAAGCGGTGTCATTGGGTCCAAAGCGGTGTCCCAGCTTGCGAAGAGCAGCTGTTGCTATAGAGAGTTTTACAAGCAGACGAGATATCAGAAGTTAATTATTTTTAGAACTCACTATATATAAACAGAACGATGAATAGTTATTAAATCTTACCGTAACAAACGAAAATTTCAACGCATCAAGGTAACCACAGCTCAAGTCTAGTTTGCGTGCATCGTAGTCAACATGAAGGCGCCTCTATAAAGAAACATGATACGTTTCATTAACATTTAGTATCACAAGCATACAGTTGTCTTTTTGTCTATCCTTTCTCGTCGTATTTGTGTTGCTAATTCAACATACAGTTGGTCTAAGGGCGTTCAGCTGTAAGACACTAGTGTCTATTACATGAAACGTCAATGTAGTTCCAAGTAGGGCGAATCAGTTACTTTCCTTACTTACAAATCTAGCGACATTCAGCATATTATGGTGTTTTTTTTTTTTTTATAGACGCCATATTGAAGGTCGAGGCTCAAAGCGCATATTCAGAACGACCTCGTATTTATAAGCAGCTAAGACAGGCAATCTTTACTGTAAGAATTGCACCTTGCAAAATAACTGTGGAAGCGCGCCGTCGGCACGCGCTCAGCAGTTGCGCACATAACTATGGCCGCCGGTGGCCACAGCTGCCCACAGCTGATCATACGCCATATAAAATACACTGCGTTACATGCAGACATGATGATAGACTTATCTGCGAACATGCCTCACGCACGTTCGTAGCATGTTTGCTTCTTACATGTGTATTTTTTGAACATGCCTGCATAGAGTTTCTGCATGACCAATGTGACACGACCGTTATTCCCAAGGAAGAAGCACGCATCAGACAGACCCTGCAGACTGTTCTTTGTATATTGTATAAGCGGTGTGACCTCGATTTTAAGCTCTATTAGAGCGCGCTGTACCCCGAGACACGTACTGCCTTTGGCTAAGAGTTAGCTCGCCTGTGCATTCCTTTAGGTCAAAGGCCGTTCAATGTTGAATTTGTACATGCGGCCACATAGAGGTAATCGGAGTATTCTAAGGCGTAGAGATATATATATTTGTAGATGCACGTATGGCATTTTCTCTCCTAAAAGCTAACAAGGGTATTTCATTGCTTCTACATTTTTTTTATTGACGTGACCGTGTTTATCTTTTCACACCAACCAATCCTAGCTAGTGCAATTTGACCTTCTAGAGTGTACAAATAAACATTCACACCAGAATGGTTTGACCTGAAGTGCAGAATCATTTCGATTGAGTTCGGCATTAACTATATAAATGCTTAGTTGGGAGGCATCACCAGGGCTACTTCGATGTATTACCGTTTGTGATAGTAGTAATTTGTGAGTCCAGTTATGATCCACACTACCCGTAGTAAAATGAGCTTGAAAAATTTAAGAAAAATGATGGTTTGGAAGACAGTACACTACAACGTTGTGATGTTTACCTATAAAGTTCGCCTCTTCAAAAGCACCAGAGTCAAAAAATTAAGTTACACAATCAACACGTTTTGGTAAATTAATAAACTTTTTTATAAAAAATAAATTGCACATTTGTATGCCCTTTGGTGTCGTTCGCTCTGCTTTTAGACTATGCCTTGCTTAGGCATATATCGATTGTGAATTTTTTTTTGTGCCACGTGTTTCATTAATTTTTTAACGACTCTCCTAAGTGCAAGTTCTATATATTTTTCGTTTGTTTCTTAGTGACGTTATTTTATTGTCGAGGATTCGTTTTTTGTATCCAACAGATTCTTTTTTTGTTACAACAAATATTGCTTCTTGTTATGTTTTTATAAAACTCTTTCTCGTCTTTTCACTTACATCCTACACTCTAAAAATGTCTGTGCGTCAACTTTCACGCACAAAACTCGCAGAACCAATCAGCGCAACTTACGGAGGCAGCTCAGCGAATAACGATGCCAAAACATCTGTTTAGACCAAAAAAACGTAGACTGAGTTGTGACATTAAGCAATGCAAGCGTGACGTTTTGCATTGCTTAATGTCACAACTCAGACTGTGTTTTTGGTCTAAACATATGTTTCGGCATCGTCATTCGCTGAGCTACCTCCGTAAGTTGCGCTGATTGGCTCTCCCAGTGTTGTGCGGGAACGTAGACGCACAAACTTTTTTAGAGTGTATAAAAAAAACGGGTTGCCTTTTCAAGACGTGCCTCTTTTCATATTTTTAAAGTTCTAACTTTAGCGTACTATTTAGAGCCTTAGCAACTTATCTTAGTGTTCAAGATAATACATATACACACTAATTTCGTGAAATTTAGCATTAATTCACAATTCCTGTAGCAAGGTTCAACACTGTAGTTGTTTGATGACTACTTTTACAGGGGACCGTATATATACGTAGAAGGAGGCAGTTATTTAATAGCGGCGTAAGTTCTACGTGGCAATAAAAGCTTTGGAAAATATTGTTTTAGATGTTATAAATTACCTTCAGTAGAAAATAATAACTGCGTTTAAGCCAAATAATAGAATCAGATGGATAACAGTATTATTGCCACACTCCAGAGGGACCATGGTAATTCTGTTTAAGAGTGAATTTTTTAAGGAAGCACGTACGTTCCATAATAAATAGAGTGTTCAAAAACTCTCCTTACTCCAGTTGTTTAAAAAAATCGGTTTGGCGTACTGTATCTTATCGGCGATTTTTATATCGTCGGTTCAGTTGTGACTGCGGTGCGAGAAACAATGACAATCACACTTGCGATTTACACGAAGAGCAGCGTGCAGTGATTTTTTATTTGTAGTTTTAGAGTGTGTCTGGTACCGTGCCAATATTTTGTACACAATATGGAGAAAGAGTTTTGTCAGGAAAATGTGTGTTAAAATAGATACAAAGATTGACGGAATGCAAAAAAAAATGTAAGCCATAAAGAACGAGCAAGATGTCCTACCGAGTCCATGACTGATTGCAACATTAAGCGCGCACGTTAGCTGATTATATTGGATAGACAGGTGACAGTGGGTGATGGAGAAATTCACTTGCAAATCAACCAATGATTTGCATTTGCAATAATCCAAGACATACCTGGCTTGGAAAAGTTTGTGCGAGATGGGTACAAACACGTTTCTGTAAGCAAGTTCTGAATCACCCTCTCGTATATTAGGCTGACAATTCCAGAATTTCAAACTGTTACATAAAATAATATACGAAGATGGCGAGTAATGTTAGTTCATATCAAAGCGTATTTGTCCTCATTATAGTGTCTAAACAGGACATACCTTGCCGTCATCACAGCCCGGATTAATGTATCCCATCATAGGTCGTCCGTTTTTGTCCATCGGCCTATACTCAACCCGCTTGCTGATCCATGGAAGAAAACAATACACTCTTATTCATTAATTCTAAAAAGCTCTGTTTACAAATACATTGAATTTATCTCCCTGCAATTGTTTTCGTCGTGCTTAGATTCTGCAGGGGTTGTGGTTACTGGCACTTTGGTCGGTTATCACTCATATAACCTACCCTCTTCTACAAATTACCATCCAACATGTTTACTTTTGTTTTCTATATGATAAACACAAAAAAAAATCTTGGAAGAAGCATAAAACACTATTCACCATGCGACTCATCACTATTGTTTACAGAACCAAAGAGTTTAATGATCACACTACACTTCATGAATTCGGATATTGTTAATATTCATGGGTACTTTTTTATCCATTACCAAAGCTATGATTAGCGGAACTTTCAAGAATAAGCGAACATATTTTAAATTATGACCTAGAATATAAACTCCTAAAAAAAGAAACAAATGCTACATGTGGCAGTGAGTAAAAAACTATTCCAACAATAACGCGCAATACAATATGGGTCGTTTAAATTACTAGGCATATATGCCTTAATGGTTGTTACTCGAATTGTGGTCATTTTACTGAGGACCATTTGAAACTAAAACTTCTAGACCCAAGTCAGTGTGAGCCAAGGCCGCGAGTCGAGAATAATAATAATTGTGTTGTTTGGATATTTCTACAGCGTGTGGTTGGTCAGCCTTTCAAAGTTGCGACAAGAGGTCACAAATACTTCGTACTAGGTAGCTTGCTGGGGATTTCTCAGTGACGCAGATGAAATAATTGGTCAATAACGGCGTTTCTCTTTTTTTTTAAATCAGGGCATTAAACACAGTGTTACAACAGCTTCATACATGCATTTATGTTCACTATCGGACTCTGTTTGCGCGAACACGGCGTCGGTGCTTTCCAGAAAGGTGGATCTACGTGCCGAACGAACCAAGGACATCCGGAAAAACAAAAAAGGACGTCATGAACTACGCAGAAACACTGGATCAGTAACTCCATGTTCATGTAGACGATCAAAATATATTGAAGGCCACGTAACATAGTCCGATTAGCAATCAATATATACTGTTTTATTCTTTCTACTCGTGAATATGTGCCATCACACGCACTCTCGAAATTTTTGAAAATTGGGAGACGCCACAGATCAGGTACCCGATGTAAGCTGACCGGCATAGGAAATAATAAAAAGAAAACACCTATCATAACCCATGTACTTTATACTTTGTTTTGAATGTTTTAGAGCGCTGATCTTAAGCGCCCAATTTCGGGTTGAGCGGCGTCGGCGTTGGCGTCGGCGTCGTCGTCGGCGTCGTTGTAACCGCGCGTTGCATGATGGGACGTTCTCCCGCTCAAGTTAGCGAGGACATTTTTCCGCTAAATTTAGCGGGGAAATTTTCATGCTAAGTTTGGAGGGAAATTTTTCCGCTAAAATTAGCAGGGAAATTTTTTTGCTAAATGTACCGGGAAAATGTTTCTACTATATTTAGCGGGAAATTTTCATACTAGTTTTAACAGAAATATTTCCCCGTTTATTTCAGCGGGTTAAGTTTCCCGCTAAATTTAGCGGCAAATTTAGCGAAAGTTTTTTTGCTAAATGGGGGAGGCGGAGAGGAGGAGGGGCATACCCTCCCGTCCGTACCCTCCCCTTTTCCTCCTCAAGAGCTGAGCTCGAATTCGGCATTACAGAGAGTTGTAAACGTCTTTCATTCTTTAACCGCTAGTAAAATGCACGACGGGGTCATTTTCATGCAGTGACAGGACGGACATAATATCAATATTATGAGCGTCACCGGAATGCTGGCGAACCTTGAACACACTCTACATTTCTTTCGATTGTTATTTTGCTTAGAATCGTTGCTCGTTTCTACCGACTTGCTATGTAACAGGAGCTTGGGCCTTTAATACTACTAACATCGTTCACTGGCGAAAACAATACTGTAATTAAAGCAATGATACTTTTCCAATGATAATAAATGGTACATACTATCCGGTACGATCCTAGATAACAAAAGTGACTAATGTTATTTTCCGGCGAAAAGACAAAATTCACGCGCGTTTTCCCACAGGAACGAGCAGGAGCACCGCAAAAGTAGACTGGTTTCTGTCTGCTTCGATCTGCATCCCAGAAGTCGCATAGCTTCTAGCGTCAGTTGAACCTCTAGCGTGCGTTATAATAGCTCTATGAGTAGAACGAACAAAGTTCACTTGGACGTGTACATCTCAGAAGGGTACCATATACAGTTAGTTAGTCGTGTTAGTAGCCTACAAATGCGCTGAAGAAGCTAAGTCCTATTCAGAAAGGTCAACTGCCCCTTTGCGACATAGGGGAGACCCTTTTGAAAACAATTGCTTAAAAGTGCAGGGAAGAGTGTGTATTGAACAAGATTGGTGAATCAGGAGACATGAGAGGAAAAAAATATATTCAGTATAATTATCCCCCTTTCTTTTCGCTTCTCATGCTCCTTTTACTCCCAACCACTGTAAAGATTTACCTCACTCTCGTTTTCATGTGTTTATCATTTCCGTCTGAGCTTTGACTACACGCATATTTCTTTTCGATTTGTCTGACATGATGATTGTGCTCACGGTAAATCTTGCTGAAACGTGGAATTTAATTTCGCCAACGATACGTGCAAAATTATATTTAGTTGTTTTGCTCTCTTTCCATCGCCTTGCATTTATATGAAACTGAATATTGAATAGTTGTATTTATTTTTGAAAATAATTATGAACGTCAATTTTGTTAAACATGCGCTTATCGGTAGCCCTGGGAATGCCAGGTGTTTTTTTTCTTTTCTTTAAATTATAGTATCGATATGTTAATGTCAATATATTTACGTGCGATATTGGAATTGAATATTTTTTTACATTTACGAATACCCCTCACACCGCGTGTATGTACTAAGGAGAAGACATCTTTCTTTACAATGTGACCAGGGTATTAACCGTCATATACTTGATGACACGAATATTAGAGCCAAATTTTTAGGCCAAATTTTCCTATTAATTTGTCTTTTTTATGGAGTAATGACTAGGAGATCATAGTGAGTACATACGCTTTGGGGTCCACGGGTTCTGTAATTTCTTTGCTGAAGGTAGCGGGCCAGATGCAACATTGGTAGTAGAAGAATAAGGCTGCAAAAGCAAACGGAACAGTGCCCATCGGATCTGAAAAAAAAATATATATATAATTTTAATTGCGATACGTTATGAGCTTTTCAGACAAGTTGTCTTCTATTTTCGCAGTGTTGCAAAACATTTATTTCGCAAATTGCTCAAAGTTAATAAATACATTCATTATCGTGTAGCACTGTAGCTGATATAAACCAACTCAAACGGCATCTATCGCTAGAGGCAGTAAGCAATAGGTGCTGCAGATGATGTCGAACGAATGACAACATGTGTTGTTTACATTTGCTGTCACCATGGGGCACTACTGCTTCACATAATCCAGAGAGTCTCAATGTTGCTGGGCTGGCGGCCCTCCCAAAGTGGAGACAGCTTTGTCCTTTGCTAGCCGAGCCTCCAACTTGCACTTCATGCTATGCAGCTGCTTCTGAGCTGTTCACGTTGTTAATATGAATTACCCCTTCTTTAATGACTCAGGGTAACAGTAAGGAGACTCAGCGACACGCATTTCGTCAAGTATGCGTTTGATTTTGGCTTGAATTTGGCGTCGGTCAGATGGCAAGAGAAGAAATGGTGCCCGTGGTAAGAAATAGGAGGCACGTGTCCTTCTAAAAGTTGTCGCCACTCCAGCAAGGCGCAACGAGCAAGCAACATTACGACACTTTAAAATAATATCGACATATGGACTGTTAAACATCGGCACTGACTTAACTTGCGAGTTTCAGTGTTGACAAGATATATTGTATTCGAATCTTATATGCAAAGATATGTGTAAATCAGCATTGCCATCTGACTTGCTACTATTATTATGTTGGGGGTTTCTTCCTAAACCTTTGTCACAGGAATTCACCTCGACATTAAGCAAACACTTAGGTATTCTTAGAATATAGGTTGATTCTTTGAAACTTAAATATTTGTTTGGTAGTATTTTACTGCCAATTTGCGCTGACGAGAAGGTTTGGGCACGTTTTGAGATCTTACCAGCTTATTATGGCAATCCCATATCCTGCTGGCAAGATTGGGTCAATATTCAACAAGACATCTTGTGAACGTGATGGAATAAACAAGATAATCCTGAAAAAAGTTTTCAACAAACAGACACCATTGCGTACTTTACGGTAGCGAGAATGTCAGTTCACGCTCTTTTTTTAAGGTATTCATTCGCAACTTATTTTTGATAATGTGCTGTCACCCTTCTTGACATATAAGAATACTCTCAAATAGAAGACAATGTGGGGGACATATGACGTACCTTTTTATAGTATTTCGCGACCACCGGTCCTCATGCGGCTGCCTCTTCTACTGTTTTCATGGCGTCACAATGCGCTAAGCTGCAGGTGTTACGAAGCGTGACGTTCTACGGCCGCAAGAAACATGTCGACCGCGGCACTCCCCACTTCCAGTTTAACCTATCTTTTATTTATTCGTTGTATCCAAGAAGGTATTGTTAGAGCTCTCGCCTGCCTGCTGCAACTTCCAGGAGACATGCCGTAAAGGGAAGGGGGGAGCTACGAAAACAGATTTTTTTACTTAATCATTGAACTTATTTATTTTATGCTTTCCTGCAACGTGGCTGCCTTACCATTAAATGACCTTTCGAAACTTTCTATACGAAATTCTCTTTTCTTTTTTTTTTTCCTTCAAAGCCCTTCGTGGAAAACACTCGACTTGCGCTCCGGTTCGATGACCCGAGGAAAGCCTAATCCACATGATGCGATTTTAGTTGCGATTTCGCAGTTGCGCCATCGTTCGTGCGGCAAAAAGATGCATGGTGGTGACTGTGGTCCCCGACGTCGTAGTTGCGAATTTCAAGCAAAGTCACATAGTGCGAACTGGGCTAAAATTAAAGCGACTGCCGGTAAAATGTTGTCTTTCAGAAAACAATTATATTACGTATATTGTCATTGTGTTTAAGATCATCATCCGCACAATTTTTATTCCTCCGCCAAAAAAGTAATTCAATTTTACAGATAACCCAACTGCTCAGATTGCACTTGAAAAACACACAGCGTTTTTGTTAGCAACAGCCGAAGTCATTTTCCATCTGGATGAGAATCATACCGGCGTGCGGTCGTGTATCACTGGTGCGTGGTGCACGTTAAAGATCCCAGGCTAGCAGTCTTACTGCAGAGGCTAAATTGTTAATTTACAGTTGAGAGACAACTCGCCAGTTGAGGCACACTAACATCAATTTGTATGAGCATACACGCAGAACACAACAGTGGAAACTATGACCTAACTTAATGCAAAGAGAGCCACAACAGGTCGTGACTGCCATCTAAGACAAGATTTACGGTGTTAAAGGAAGCTCAAATTTTCGACGATGACCTTTGTATTTACCACCAACCATGTAGATCAAAACCTGAAAAAAAGTCAACACTTGCAACTCTGACGTTATCATGGCTAATGTGACGTCACAACACGACCAGCCATGCATACTTGCTAAATTGGGCTCGAAGTTTCGTATTGAAGTTCATAATTTATTTAAGCAATACTGGGCGTAGTTTAGTGAATTCAATATCATATGACGCTATATTTAAGCCCTCTCTACGTAACTATCAACAAAATTGAGTAATTTCTGGATATCACCGGACAATTCCTTTAATGCACCGCAGGTCCGAGCACGTAGGGCGAACCCTCGCGCTGCAGAACCCAGGGGTCCTGGGTTCTATCCCTATCCTGCACGTTTCAATATTGATATGCATCAAATCGGTATGCAGTCGTGTATCACTACTGCATGATGCACGTTAAAGACACCAGGCTAACTGTCGTACCGCATTGGCTAAATTTATCATCTACAGTGGGTAACCATGTTGCCACACTTTGGCAGACTACACTCCTGCTGCCTAAGAAACTAATTACTGTATTTTTGTAGTTGTTTTTTTAGATAAGTGCCCAGATGCAAATGGAAGCACGATGTGACCCCAAACAGAGAAACTCCGATGACGTAAAATGCCGTTGAGTTGGGTGATCTTCGATGTAAGTGCCGCGTTTCTTCCGGAGCAGCACCCACACCTGCAGAATCCCACGCGGATTTGAAAATATCACCATAGCCTCCTCTATACTCACAAAGCCTGGCAGTTCGACGACGGAGCCATAGTGTGCACGGTCGCAGATATGGAGCGGAAGAATCTGGCAGCACAGAGCATTAAAGAGCCATTTCTCGGGGAACCTGGACGTCACCGCACACCTTTCGCAGCGGCGAGGACCCGAAACACACTTCTTCGCTCGAGAAAAATGTATTTCGGCGTCTCGCCGCAGCGGGGCGCCAGTCAGGTGGCTCTTTTCTCATCCGTTGTCTGCCACTCCACCTTTTTCATTTCGGCGGCCGCTTCTCGTGGCGATCTGTCAGAATTTTCAGTATATGGGAGCCTATGATATCACTTAACACAACCAGATTTAACGTAAATGTTGAAGGCCTTTGAGACGACTGTAATACCAGAGCCGGCTTGCTATAAACAGCGTCTCAGCTGAGACTGGGTGAAAGACAGCACTGTCAAAGTCGGCGCGCGAGCTGAGTGGGACTCAAACCGTGTCTCAAGACGCTCGCGCGCCCAGGTGTTTGCAGTGCTTTCTTTCACCCAGTCTCAGCTAAGACGCTGTTCTAGTAAGCCGGCCCTGATTCAGTTGTGAGTTGACGCTCCAAAGACACGAAGCAATGACTTCCCTTTAACGCAATACATATCGTTTAAGGAAGAACTTACCTCTTGAGTGGCTAATTTTGTATAATCATAAATGTGTAAAATCCTAAATTTCTAACCTCTGCCCAAAAACAGGTGCCACTTAAAGCAGTCATTGGAGGCCATAGTCAAAGGCCGACGATTGTTCAAATAAGTGCAAAACAAATTCAAAGGTTTTCTTACGTTATCCCTAAGACGACTTGAAGGCGACAGTCCAGGCGCCGGTCCCTGTGATAGCAAAGCTCCGAAGAGAGCGCACTCTCTGACGACGCACTCTTGGCGCCGTTAATCTCACGGCATGTCGCACGCCCGCTCTTCACCGCTGTCTGAGAGGGAGAGTGTCCTCCTCTCCCGCTGGGTTTGCGCCGCGCGAGAGACTCTGCCGATTCTGGCAGGAGTAACGCCATCTCGTGGTCCAGTGGTGAACCGTGGGTTTGGTACCTTTCGTGTCGCCGACGTATTTTCGCTCAAAGACAGAACGATGCGACATATAAGGCTTCCGCCTTAATAAATTTTTGTTTTTCTCTGAAGCCTGGCATTAGGCATGTATACAGCCAGTGAATACCATGTAAGAGTATTGAATTCCTATTCTTTAATGATTTGCAGAGAACAGACTCGCTCTAGGCTTGAGTGTTTTGCCCACGTGGTTTCGACTTGCTGCGACTTAATTTGGAGGTAAAAGTCACCTGACACGTGTGTTATCTACATTGTTTTCAATCACCGCCGTGAGCCACCATTTTGTGGACAGCCAGCACGCCAGCTTCTGCTGTAACGCTCCTGGTTGTTTCTTCTCAGCTGCTTAGTGCCGTGACGCGCGTGTTTTGAGGAAATCGTATCTTAACGTTACGGTTTCAAGGCTTCTGCATGACTTCTTGCATTGCCTCCGGGTGTAAAAGCAGGTCAGAGAACAGCAAAAGGCTCTTCCGATTCCCGTCAGGCAACAACGCTTCTGTGACGGGGAAATGTTCTTTGCTTGTCATTATGAAAGAAAGAATTCTAAGCCCAATGCAGAAAGCAAGCTTTGTGAGGTGAGTGTATTTCACTGCTTTTCTCCGCGTATCGCTCGTCGCCTCGCAACCAGTCAGGCTGCTACGAAATCGGCACAAGCGATGCTTGGAAAACGGCTGCTTCTGAAGGAGATTTCGATTGCAGCGCTTTTTATGTAAATTTCTTCGCATCCTAGGAAGCGTAGAAACCAATGTAATGAATAGCTTTGCACGCGAAATCAGAAGCACGAATATTGGGATGATTCATAATGTAATTTAAACAAATTTACTTGCGTGAAGCCATTGATTTTAAATTGTCACGAATGAAAATTGATGAGGCGACGAATAACTAAAGGAAACTAAACTTT